CCGTACCCCCCTCAAATCTTCTTCTCTGCTTTCTTGGTCTCTCTAACTCTCCCCTCTCCATTGGGTCTGCTCGTTAGGGTGTAGACTCCCCCTTCATCTTTCCTTGTTCAAGTATTTTGTGCATTAAGCTCTATGGTTGATGCCACCTCACTTACCCTCGTCTCGATGAAGTCCGGCTTCCAAGCAAACGCCTCCACTTTTATCGCAACCGTTGTGCACCTTGCAACCCATTCCACGCCTAAATCCCCCCCTAGGAGCCCATAGGGAATGGTCTCCACCACCTGCCAAGGCATCCAGATCAAACCCTCTCTTAGTACAGAATCAATCCCCATATGAAGTAGCAGTGGTCCGAAATCTGTCATTGTTCCCTCGTCTCCTTCCTCTCCTAATGCCATCGGCTCCTCCCCTCCCTCTCTCAAAATGAATGCTCGAGCCGGAACCTCTCCCCCTATTAATTTCTGAAGATCTGAGCCAGAGCACTCTTCCATCGGGGGGTCAGTCAGTCCGGTTCCTATTCCACCGGCAAGTCAAAATATATATTACATTGAGACACACTCCCGCTTCCTTCCGTCTGGCCGAAGGACCCCTGCGCAGCATTGATTGCTCCACCTTGGTGGAGGATTGACTGCCAGCTTGCCATACTTTGCTCTTTCCTCTCAGACCTGGCAACCAGCTCTGTCAAATAGCTCCATCTTATCAAGAAAGAGGATGCCCATTGTCAAGTTAGCGAGCCTAATCCCCCTTACACATCCTATCCATGAGCCCTAATCAGCCCTAACTCGTCTTACCCACCCCCCTTTTCTGGTACCACTAAAACCCTAAACCCTAAATCCCCACTCGATATCCAATATCCGCATCCTTTTTTTTTTTCTTTTTTTTTCCAGCACTCACTCACGCCCCTCCCCCTTAAGGTGTGGAGGTCCGAAGGGCAGCATTGATTACTTCCCTCAGGAAGGATATACCACCCTTCACCCCTGCCTAAGTTAGTCTGCGCTATTGGGAGTCATCTCTTGACCTCTGATTGGTGCTGAAATTCTTAGAGTGATCCTTGATAACTTCTTGTCTATCATCTGATCCTAATTATATTTTCTCCCCTATATCTATCTTTTTTTCTTATACTGTACTTCTGTCTAAGTTGGTCTGTAAATGCTGGTTGCTATTGTTGAAGACTGACCTGGTATCTCTATCTATAATGTCTGAATCGTAGTTTTCTAGGGTCCAAACCTGTCAGTTCCTCTCGGTATTTGACTGTGGGATTTTCTTCCCTTTGGTAGAACTGTGAGTTTGGAACTTTGTCTTGGGAAGTTTCTACCTTAGATTCTATGCTTCCGCTGGGACTCTGCTGACGGTCACGTTTTAGTTACCTTACCTCTCTTTTTGGGAAATTTGGCACTTCCTGTACTAAGTTTTTCGGTTTTGGAACTCTTTGATCTGTGTACATGATAAAACCCTAAACCCTGCCTCTTCTTCTGTGTCTTGTATTCTGGGACCTTGAGTCCAGATGCTTGCCTCCTGGTAGCATAGCTGGGCATCTTTCTCCTATCTAAGTTTTCGGGGTTCTTCGGTGCTGTGTGTTTCTACTCCCTGGCTTTAGTTCCCTGGACTAAACAACCGGGTCAGTTCTTTTAGTAGGCTTCTCTTAAGAGGAATCCATATGGATGTTAAAAGATTCAGGGATGCTGGCTAGAGAGTTAGAGTCTGTTTGGGGTGTACTTGTGCCTCCTTCCCATAGTGTGAAGATCAGACTGTGCCCTTTGATCTTTGCGATTTTTCCTTTTGCGAGATAGTTGGATTTGAACTTGCTTTTATAATCTTGGGGTTTGTCTTCCTCTTTCTTCATTTTCTCTCTCACTTTGCGCCATAGTACCCAGTATTCCGTTTCTACCTGCTGTTGCAGTATACCCCAAGCTTCTTGAGTGTGCATCGAACGTTTATCAATTGTCTCTTGACATCTCTTCCTCCATATGGTCCATAAGGTGGCCTTCCTCAGGATTTGAAAAAGGTTGTTTTCCAAGTTTGTCCAGTTTTCCGGCGTGTTGAAGCCTAGCAGTAGTAGTATGAGGTTATTGGTGAAATCTCCGATGATTATTTTCTCCCAAATATTCTTGATTCTCTGCCATAATGGTTGGATTTTAGGGCATCTGAAGAAACAGTGGTATAGATGGAGCCCCCCCCTAGGTGTTAGTGGTGTCTGCTCTTATCAGCAGCACTAACACTGACGGGGGGGTTTCAACAAAAAAAAAA